GACTCGCTCACCACTGCGCTCCTCCCAGGTGTGCTCGCCCAGCCACACCACCCTGCTAGGACCCGAAGAAGGGGTAGGGGGTGGAAGCGAGGGGCAGAGGCCCTGGCTGACTACTGACCCCCACCCTGTGCCCCACAGCCTCCTGGTGGGTCATGAATAATAACGGAGTCTGAGCTGCTTGTCCAAGGACTCTTGGCCCCTGCCTGCCTCCTCCTGGAACTCGGACCCTGCCCGAGGAGGCCAAGGACGCCCCGGGTGACCAGGCTCTGGCCTACCTGCTCCCTGTCATCCGTGGACTCCGTGGCCTGCAGCTCTGACCTTGCTGGGTGACCCTGGGCAGGGTACTCCCCTCTTCTGGGCCTCAGTCTATCTGGTTCCCCCTGGGCACCCTCTTTCCTTCCTGATGTCTTGGGGCCAGGCTTCTGTGCCTCCCCAGCTGGTAGCAGGATGCTCAGGGACCTTTGAACCCCAACCCTGCCCCTAAGGTAGGGCAGGGCCAGGCTGCAGTGTGGGCTTAGGAGTGGTTGGTTTGCATGTCATTTGCATGTCATTTGCATACACACACCCCACCTACACTCAGGGCACCATGGACAGCCCCAGGGTGACCTTGCCAAGTAGCAATAATTTGGACCCAGAGTCACCTGCTGTCCGGACACCTGGGAACCCCACCCTGGGTCTGAGCACAGAGACAATAAAGGCAGTGTCACCTCTGTTGTAGCCTCCTCTCTCCCTGGGCAGGAAGGCAGGCAGGGCTGTGGGAGTTGGAGGCATGGAGGCTCTGACAGAGCCCTTCCTTTCCGTGCTGTGTACCCCAACCTTGCGGGCAGAGCAGCAGCAAGGCCTCGGCCCTCCAGGCGCCAGCACAGGCTCCACCTCAGTCTTCCCGGGAAAGGGCAGGGGCTGCTCTCAGCCCCCACTCCTCTCTTCACTGTCCCCTCTCGGGGCTCAGGGAGTTGTGCCCCACACCTCAGAGAGCACAGCTGAGCCCTGCTTCTTCTTCAACCCAACAGGAAGGGCAAGCCTGTCCTTGCCTCCTCACAGTGTTTCTGGGGGAGTCCCTGCGGGGGGTGGGGAGGAGCCTGAGGAGTGGCACAATGGTTAAGTGCTCAACTAAAACTCTAAAGGTTGGAGGTTCGAATCCTCCAGCCTCGCCCAGGAGAGCATGTGGCAGTTGGCTTCCACAGAATTCCAGCCTTGGGAACCCCTTGGGGTGGTTCCCGCCCAGTACTCAGACAATGGGTTCTGGGGGTGGGGCAGGGGTGCAGGAGAGGGCCCTAAAGGAGGCACCAGGCACCACAGAGCACAGCATGGCATTTGACCTGGCCTGGGGAGTGACAGGGACAGGGTCGACAGGGACAGGTTCTGGAGTGGGGGGCCTGGCACCCAACAGGGTGGGGCTTCATCTTGAGGAAGCCACCATCAACTTTAAGGGGCAGGGGGATTGGATTGTGACCAGACAAAACTACAGAGCCATGGCATTCCTCGATGCCCGGTGGTGGTGGTGGTGGGGGTGGCCGGGATGGGGGACCGGTACTGGCTCAGTCCCAGGGGACTTGGCCGGGAAGGGAGTTAGATGGCACTGGCTCAGGGCAGACATCCCTGCATGGGACTCGGAGCAGGTCTTCCCGCTGCCCATAGGAGACAGAGCTGCCAAGGTTCCAGCTAGGATGGAACCACTGCCCGCCCCCCTTTTTTTCCCTTGTCCTCTGTTCTAACTCCTGCTGTTCTCCTCTGGGGAATGGTGGCGGCAGCAAACTGACAGAGATGGCCTCTTCTTGACCATCTCTGAGCAGAGGGCTGCAACCCCCCACACTCCCTCCCAGAGAGTCCTGCCCGCCTGTGCTGGGAGGGCCGGGAAAGATGAGTGGGAGGTCTCAGGTCAGCAGTGTGCCGTGGACAAAGGGGGCAACAGTGGAAGCACAGGGAGCGGGGGTGGGGGAGAAGTTGGAGGTGAGCTGGGCCAGGCCAGCGGCAGGAACTGGGATTTTGTCTGGCAGGAGTGCTCGGGCGGGCATGGTACTGGGTGCGGGAGCCCTTGGGCGTTTACATTTTCCTGCATTTTCTCACAAACCCCTGTGCTGGGCAACGTGCATAGGATTACGTCTCACCCAGCCGCACCAGTGGGGTGTACACTTCATATTGCCTGCCTCTTCCCTGCTGTCCCCCGGGCCCCAGGCCAACACCACCATTCCTCCTGTGCTGGAAGATCGGGACAGCTTCCTCACGGGGCTTCCTGTGTCCACTCCCCAGAGGGACTTTCAAAAGGAAGCTGTGGGGTTTGCTCAAGGCCCTTCAGGGTACCCTTGCCCTTTGAAAGTTTGGTTTCTTGACCTTTGAGGTCCTTAGCAGCCAGCCTTTAGGCCCAACCCAGGTAGCCTCGGCTCCCTAAACCAGTGGTTCTCAACCTGTGGGTCCCGACCCCTTTGGGGATCAAATGACCCTTTCACAGGGGTTGCCCGATTCTTAACAGTAGCAAAATGACAGTAATGAAGTAGCAATGAAAATAATTTTATGAAAAAAAAATTTATGGTTGGGGGGTCAGCAGCACATGAACTGTAAGAAAGCGTGGCAGCACGAGGAAGGTTGGGAACCACTGCCCTAAACGCCCTCTGCTGAGCTCGCAGCACGGCCGGCCTGCTGTGCTCCACATTGCCCACTACGGCTACGTGTTGGAAGCCTGCGGGTCTAGGTCGCAGGCCCCAATCCTCGCCCTTGGTGACCTTGCTGGCTCTAGCGCACCCCAGCAGCCGCCGAGCACCTGCTCTGTGGCAGGTGCTGCAATGGCAAAGTGGCCTGTGGTGCTGTCAGCAGCGCTGGGTCACGGGCAGGCTGAGTCTGGAAGGTGGGTGAGCCCCAGGCTCCCGCCCGCAGCTGCCACCTCTACCCTTTCATCCACTCCCTGCACCTGCCAAGCTGCAGCCTCGCCCTCTCACACCTGTGCCTGTGACTCACCTGCACACGTGTGAACCTGTCCAGGGGCCTGGCCTGGAGCCAATGACAGTCTCCCACGCTGCCACTGCCCTGAGCTCTGGGAACCTGTGCACCGAGCTTGGCCGGGTTGAGATGGAGCGCCTGAAAATTGGCGAGCTTCTCGCTGGATGGAAACTTCTCGAAACAGACACTAGTTGAACAAGACACCAGGCTCCAGGCAGGGTGCTGGGAACCAAGCAAGGTGAATCCTCAAACCAAAGATGTCAGGGTGGAGAAACAGGTTATAAATGTCAACCGCAGCTGACAGGGGCTTCCTCTGCACTGGGCAACGTGCATAGGATTATGTCTCACCCAGCCGTACCAGTGGGGTGTACACTGATGGTGAGCCTGCCTCCTGGCGACCTCGGTGTGCACAGCAGAGGCCCGACTGGGTTCGTAAAGCTGTGATGGCTCAGGGGCAGAGAACCAGGCCTTTCTTCGGAGGTGCCTGAGTCGGTCTGAGGTTCCAACTTTTTGGCACTTAACTAACCAATTGTTGGCACTACCGGGGACTCCTTGTCCTGTCAGCACCCCCAACTTGCCCAGGGCTGGAGGAGGCAGTGGCAGCTTTGGGAGCTAAAACAAAGGAAGGTGTACGTCCCAGGGGTGGGCCTGCGGATGGGCCCTGGGAGCAAGGTGATTCTGGTGTGGGCCTCCACGGTCCCAGCAGTCTGCAGGGTGGGGCTGAATCCTGGTTATTTCCAGATTTCCCTGGGAGGCATTCAGAGAACGTTAGCTGAACTCACAGGGCAGAAGTGGGCCAGCCTCAGAAAGGGTTAGTGTAGAAAGGCAGGCAAGTGTTACCTCCGGGGGTGTGCACCCTGGCTAGGAATCCAGCTTGTAGATGGAGGTGGCAGCAGATCTGGCTTTATCCACAAGAGGGTGCACAGCTACAGCCAATGAGGCTGGGGGAATTGGGGGTTCTAAGTTTGTGTGGTGGGAGGGGGCTGGGAGACACAGGGTAGGCAGTGGGAGGGGGCAGGGAGACACAGGACAGACAGAGATTAGCCATTCCGAAATGCAAAACCAGCAAAGGCGGGCAAGATGAGTTTAGGTAGATACATGTTGGCCCATCTTGTGATTCTATCACGCCCAAAGGATTTCTCATCCAACGGAAACATACAAAAGAAGCAGTAGGTCCCTTGCCTCCATCCTTGCTAATAGATGAAAGGGCGCTCAATTTTCCCCCATCTCCTTCACCAAACCTAATGGTCCTCCCAGTCTCAGTGTTATTTACAGAACAATGACCACGTTTCGCTAGCCAGCTTTAGTTTTCCTCAGAACCCTCTTTCGAGGTTTCCTATTGTTGTTTTGTATGCTGCAGCCCAATGACTCCCAGGGGCCTCTGTTCCTGCTGACTCTTGCTCATGACAGCTCATTTCCTTGGAGCGGAGTTCTTTTGACAGTTGATTGATATGTAATATAGGGGAATCCTGAAGGTTCTTCATTAAGGATATTTCCCTCCAGGGGATTTTTGCTTTTGCCAGGTGCTACCGGTGGACGATCCTTTTGATTCTGTCTGGTGTCCCCCCGTGGGAGTGTAATTCCGCACCCAGGCCAGGAGAGGGCAGACGTAAGGCAGTATATGCTTGTGAGCCAGGAGCCGGCCCCCAGCCAGGTCTCCTTGGCAAGGGTCAGTTTGGTTTCTCCAATTCCCGGTCCCCTGCCATGCCCTTACACCCCTAGTCAATTCTCTGCCCTTGTCTGTAAGCACCACCGGCTTCCTGAAGAACTTCTGTGGTTTACTTTTAGTCGTACGATGTTTTTGGCCCGTGACACACCACCTATACTCGAGTATAAGCTGACCCGAATATCTGCCGAGGCACCTGATTTTACCACAAAAACTGCATTGAAAATGTGCTGAAAAGCTCAGCTTATACTGCACTATATACGGTAATTGAAATACACTTATAGTAATTTATCCGGCATCTGGGTGTTTCGTGGCCACGGGAAATTTTCCAGTTTGTCGTTTCTACTGGAGCTCTGAGTCAGACGCACGCTCATGTGGTACCGACGTGTGACTCTGAGGTAAAACGCAACACGTTTAAAGGATGGTATGTATGCAGATCATGGCGAGTCCATTTGTTTGTGAAAACTTTTGGCTCTTTCATCTCAAAAGTTTGCCGAGCCCTGCTCTAGGGCAGAGATGCCTGGCAGGGAGGTAAAGCAGACGGACTACCTGCGGCTCCTCCGTCAGGCGTGTAGGCGTGCCTGCACCCGTCTCAATGTCGGGCAAGGGCAGCAGGAACCGGACAAGCCCTTCCCAGAGGCTCCACCGTTTCAAATGACTCTAGCTTCCTTTTCTTTTTTCAATCTGAAGGAAATGTATCAGGTAAAGGAAGGTGTTCATTTCCGGCTGCCCCACACCAGGGAAAACTTGGAAGCAATCCCAATGGCTCAACAGGAGGTAAAAGGTTAAGAAAATTGTGACCTCAATTAAATGCTGCAATCCGTCCCAGAGATTGAGGTGAGGGTAAGGTGGAGACAGGTTTACCTGGGCAGGACTGATGCTTGCACCCTGACCCCGACTCACCAGTGGAAAGACTGGGGTTGAGTCCTCCCAGAGGTCCCTGGGAGCCCGGCCTGGCCACCTGCTTGGGCCAGTCACAACCTTGGGAACTCTATGGGAGAGCTCTACTGGCACACACACGAGTCCCAGTGAGTTGAAACGGCTTGGCTGGCAACTCACACCACCGGTAGTGTGTAAACAGGGTTCACACTCAGACTGACAAGGGGGTAGAGACTTGAAATGATTCTGTCCCTGAGATCACCAACTACCCACCCAAGCCAGGCTTCTCGTCCGCATAGGGCTTTGAAAAGAACTGTCTACCGGGAGGCAAGCAGACAGGAGGGGAATTGGGGGTGGGGGGCGGTGAGTTTGTGGGAACCATTTGAAAGAGGGTGGTGAAGATGCTTGGAGAACGTATGCATCCTCACGGTATTGTAAGCATTGTTGAACTGGTGTCAACAATGTGGTGTATGTTTTCTCAACAACAAGAAGTTAAAAAAAGGCCCTGGCTGAATCTCCCTAAGTCCAGGTGTGGTAACACTTTGGAAGGAAGCATGAGTTATTAGGGGGATACCCACAAGCCTGTAACTCTTAAAAATGTGCATTTTCCTTTCTCAAAGGTCACCTTTGGAAAATCATTTAAAGAAGCCTGAGATGTAAGGAGTGTGCCACTTGACCTTGGGTCTATGAGGCCAGGCCAGTCAGGGTGGGCCTGGGCGTCTCTACCCATTGGCCACGGGGCACTCTTGTCCCCTCCTCTAGTAGGCCTCCCGGAAGTCTTGGCCCCGAGGGCGTCCAGCAGCTCAACCTGCCTGTTTTCACTCTACTGATGCTCACTAGGCCGGAAGGATTGGTGGGGGGTCCCACCCCCAAAACACACGGAGGGAAACAGGACCTAGAAGGCCACCCACACGACACCTCAGGGTGTGCCCACGTCCCTCGCAGTCAGAGCCCAGCTCGAGTCAGAAAAGGAATATAGCCTTTTTATTGACTACTTTAAGTAGAACAAACTAAATACATATTTGACAGCTTGGGCTCATTTATACAGCACATAAATAAGTTATGCAGTTAGGTAACAAAAGTTCCTGTTGGAGTCAAATGACAAAAGCACAGACACTCCGGCATCCTGTGGTGGCTTTAGTCGGCACCCACCTGGCAAGGAAGGTCAGAGGCCGCCCAGTCACCAGGGTGGTCAGCACCCGAGGGGCGGTTCCTGCTTATTTACATTCTTGACTTTGTGGCCTCACTGAAAGACTGGGAGGGCTGAGAAAGTGGACCAAAGGCTTCAGAGGCCAAAGACCCCTTCCTTCTCCACCTAATGCTTATTGCTGCTGCTCTGTGCCAGATCCTGGCCAGGACAGGGCTGGCCCTGCCGGATGGCGGCACCCCGCCCCCTATTTGGTATAAGCATCCCGAGTGTACCTTGGGCAGCTGTAGGCCTGACCAAGTAGGGCCCGCAGGGGGACCTCTACCTCTGAGGCTACAAAGCCATGGTCCTGGTCCCGGGACGGGGGCAACCACACACCCCAGGCCCTCCAATGGTGTCCTGGCAGGTGGTGGACAGAGGTCAACAACGGCACCATTGTCTTTGGAAATGAGCACGTCAATGTACCTGGCTGAGTCCGTCAACGTTTTGGCTTCACAAGAAATAGACACTCAGCAGCATCCCCTCCCAGGGGCCCTGCTCCCCCCCCCCTCAGGGCAGGGCCCGAGAGCTGGCACCTGACTCATGTTGCAACCGCCCAGGTTCCTCAGGTGCCCCTTACATTTGGTTCAGTCACCACCACCCCTTCTTTGTAAAGGGCCTACAGTCATCTGTCACAAAGCTGGTTGGCCTATGGACCGGTGGCCTGGAGCCCAGGTTTTGAGAGCGCAGTTCTGGAGCAAGCCTGCAGGGGTGTGCTGCTCTTCAAGCAGGGTCATTCAGCCCAGAGTCTGCCACCTGTGCTTCCACAGAACGAGTCCAACCGTGCTGTGGGAACCTCTGACCCCCTCACGGAGGGACCTTCCTGTGCTGCCCAGAATCTCGCCCACACCCCCTGGCAGCAGGCCACAGGACTGGGGGTTGGGGCAGTTTGGGGACAGGCTTGGACGAAGCAAGTGACCACTGCTCTGGAAATCTGCAGCTGCAGGCGGATGGGAGCGCCAGGCCCAGGCCCTGGGTGTGGCTAGGTGGTTTCCAGACCCTCAGCCAGTGGCCCAAGGGCCAGAGGGAGACACGGAAGACTCAGCACTGTGGTCTCAGGTCCCCGTCACATGGCCTGGATTTGCCAGCACCCCAGGCCCAGGGCCACGGGACCTTCCACAGGGGAGCACTCAAACCACGGCACAGGCTGCCTGCACCGGGGCCTCAACAACTTCCTCTCGGTGGGGTGGACAGGCCTGGTGTCGGACAGCGGGGAGCCAAAGGACCACGTGAGGATGGCCCTGCCCCAAGGCCCTCTCAGAACACCCAATGGCAGGCTCCATTTTGGTTACCCGGAAGGCACCGAGTGCCTGGGTAAAGGGGCCTGACAAGTGCTCCGGGGCCTCTGGAAAGCCCACGGCGCAGAGTTCTCCATCCGTGTCACAGGGGTGCCTGGAGGCCGGCTAAGACGCACAGCCCGGGTGCTGTTTTGTCTTCTCTGGTTCCCGGGACCCAGGTGCCCTGTCACCCAGCTCATCCTCCACCGTCCTATGCTGCTCCGGTTGCTCACCGAAGAGCCTGGGGCCGAGAGGACAGCACTGTCAGCACCAACCCCCCAGGGCTCTTCTTAACCGCACAGACTGCCACATCCAGTCACCTCAAGAGCCCGAATATAGTAAGACGTTTTCTTTTAAATCCATCGCAGCTAGCGTTCAGAGAGGGAGGCGCACGTGAAAGGGGGTCTTTAAATCTGGGTGACAACTCCCACGTGAAAATGGCCAGGAGTGACAAAGCAAGTAGCATGTGCCAGGCCAGGGGCTGTGGGCAGCGCTGACTGCCGCCTGACATGCTGAGAAGCGGAGCCCACAAGGGAAGTGGCGGCCTCCATCATCAACCACACTTGACCTGAAGCAGGAAGCTCTGGCGAACAGGAATCTGTTGGTCTGACATCTAATTCCAACCACTGAAACACTGAGATAACAAGCCAGTCTTGGGGTCACTGGAGATTTAAAAACTCACCCACCCGACAGGCCCTGCCTCACAGCTCAGACGGGTCTGGAGATGGCATGCGTGGCGGTGACGCAGTATGACACAGCACAAGGTCTGCAGCACTTGCTCAGCTCCAGGATGGTGCCTTGGATGCAACTGGCCTCAACAGGTGGGGCAAGTCCTACTAAGGCACCCCACTGCACCCTCTGGGACAGCACAGCCCGGTGGGTTCCCAGCAGGGAGCACAGGCCGCCCCCCATGGTGAACTGGACAGGCACCACCCGGGAGAGAAAAGGACAGAACGAGACGACTGTGCAAACTGGGCAGCAGGGTCTGTATTTCCAATGGACGAGCCACTCAATGACTGACGACACGACTTTGGCCAACATGCTCAGTGAGAACAGACCACCCACAATGGAGGCTCGTTCTCTCTCAGACCAATCCATGCGCTGGGAATGGTTTTCCGCACGAGCAAAATCAAGCAAGAGGAAAACAGGCCCCCCAAACTAAAGTCGCCAGCATAGCGGCTGGGCTGGCCGGGCGAGCTTGGTGGGCGTGTATTTTATGATCCAAGGGAACTCTACTGGAACAGGGATTCCTTTCCCATTGTTTCTGAGTCATGAGTCTGAACAGCAGGGCCCAGGAGGGAGGCCTGAGCCCCATCAGTGCTCCCTGCAAGGGGCGGAAACGAAGGTCAGGAAGCTGTTCCTGGGGCTCCTCCTTAGCCTGGTGCGCGAGGGGTCTCCAGGGTGTCCCGGGAACAGGAGCTCCAGCCATTCCTTGTGCAGAGGCTGCACTGACAGTTCCTTCCTCCAAGGGCAAGGGCCTGGGGAGGCCCCCACAGTTCCTGCCCCCAGGGCACTTCTTGCACTGAGGCCCAGGGCTGCCCGGCCCCCGGAGTGGCAGTGTTTGTCAAGCTGAGTGGTCGTCGGGGTAAGTGGTGTGCAGGGCTCAGAGCCCGCTGGTGTCGATGGCTGTCACGGAGGCAGGCGTGGAGGAGCGCGAGGTGGTGGCTGAGGTCTTGTCCAGGGCCGGGCTGGGCACGCTGCAGTCGGCTGAGCGGGCGGCGGAGCCCCGGCCCCCAGGGAGCAGGGGCCGGCTCTGGTGGGGGCTCTGGCCGCAGAGGCGGTGGTGGCGCTCCCAGTCCTTGTGCTGACAGAAGGAGCCACAGTACCGCGCGATGTTGCAGCCGCTGCACGTCTCGCTGGCTTTGCGGCCACAGTTCCAGCAGTTCTGCAAGACACAGGCAGCCATCCGTCAGGGGCACAGATTGTCTGCTGTCAGGTGTGGAGAGACCAGGGCTTTGGTGCTACACCTCCCTGGGGTCCTGTTTCTACTGCTTTCTGATTGACAAAGAAAACCCATTTCCCTGTAGGGAATTCCAACTCATGGCGACCCTGCAGTGGGCTCCGGAGGGCAAATCTCTGCGGGACCTCACAGCCTCGCCTCTTCCTGTGAGGTCAGCATCCCAACACCTGAGCGAGCCCACCAGGGCTCCTTGCTATCTGTTTAGCTGGAGAAAAGACAAACTC